TAGCTCCTATATCAAGTGTCATATTAAGATTTTAAAAGAAACTCCTTGATATAGAGGGAATATTGAAATAATTTTATAGCACCATTTTTCAGAAGGGAAGAACTACCTTGCAGGTTCAATAGAACGTGAAAGTGCTAGAGAAGTAATTAGTCACTCATTAATGTTTCCTGAATTTGCAAACAATTTTATTAGCAATACCAAGATAGCTAGTAGAAGAAAGGAAAAGAATAAATATTTGGCCTTAGCTTACGGAGATGAGCACTTACAGAATAAGCGGGGGGAAAAAAAAAAAAAAAAAGAAACAAATATCTGATTAATTTTTTTTTTTTTGAAAAAGGATTTGAAGTGATTTGAGATGCAAATGCTGTAGTTCATATTTTTTGTTTAGAACTAAAAAGGCTAGAAAACAACTATATTCTTCTACAGTAATACACTATGCTTGGAATATTGATTAAAAAAAGAAAACAGCTACTTAAGAGGTATGTGAACAATAGACAATAGGAGCAGTGATGGATAAAGAACAAGAATCCTCAGAACTGTTTGTCTAGTTACTATATACAGGACAGCTAGCTGAGCAAATAGGGTACATATTTGTTAAAAATATATGATCTAGCTGCTAATCTCTGACCAATATACACCAATCTACTTGGTATTATATTTGGTAAAACAGTTATTTCAATTGTTGTACAAGTATATAATATACAGCATATTGCATAGAACATTAGTTTTTGTATACACACGTTGCATTTCTTTTACAGTTAAGTAGTTAAACATTTTACTAACATGACACAATCCTTTGCTTAGAACAGCATTTGTTAAATGGTGACAGATGCTGGTATTAATTACACATTTAGTAGATCATTTTTCCATTATGTTCCTTTTGTCTCATCTTTCCAGTTATAAGCCTGTCCTATAAGCAGATTAAGCACCAGACTTTCCCCCCCACTTTGCCCATTCCTTGTTTGACCAAAATAAATGGCCGGTCTTTTCTACACTACCATCTGGATTCCTCTATCTTGCAATTTTTGAGGCCTGCACCTATAATCCATTAGACAATTCGCAAGAAATTCTGATTTGGAAGTATTTTTTTTTTTTTAACTATCATCTCATATTTAATGCTGGAAGTTATAGTTTTATTGCCCACTTTATGCCAACAAATAAAATGTATTGTGGCTTGTAACAAACCTTGGCAAATTATAACTGGCATATCAAAAACCGATTTGACATTTCAAGAGATACGTATGCAGAAAGATAGATGGCAAGGCATATGCTAAACAACTCTATCTTCTTTTTAGCACTTCCATGACCAGAAGTATTCCTATTATACAAAAATTTATATATACTAACTCAAAACAAATACTATCCATTCTTAGCATAAACAAGAATTTTAAGGGCAAGCACCTTCAGGTATCTTTATCATGGCCTGTAGACTTTCATAGTGACTCAAAGCACTTTTGTAATAATAATAAAACTTCAACATTCTCACTTAATACAAAAGAGCAAAGAATCAGTAAATGAGGGCATCTCTTTTCAGTGCCCTTCTGTGAGGGACATCTGTATATCAGCACAGCAGCAGCATATTGGAGACGGAAGTGGTATGAAATTGGTAAGTACAAATGGGAAGGTCATTCATTTAGTAAGAGTAATTTCTGTCATTAAGAGAAACCTTATTTAAGTTGGCAGAAAAAGATGTTAGCATAATAATTGGTCAGATGATGATCAAGAACCACTAACATGACTTAGGTAGAAAAAATGTAATATAATCTTACTCTTCAGGAGACAGATTTTTTCCAGAAAACCCAGGCTTTGAACTCATAAGAGCTCATCACTATTGCTGAAAGAGAAGAAAAACAACAACAAAAAGAGTTATAATAGAAAAAACTGCAGAGAAAGGACACTAGAGGCAGGAGCCTCGCTGTCCTTGGAACTCGTCAAGTGCCATTTGCACTAGGAAGTTCTATTATGTGTCTGGATGGAACAGCAGGGACCTCCACTTGATAACTTAGCAGGTCTCCTTCAGTCTTACGTTCTGGAGTGGTGACCACACAGGAGGAATACGCAGGATAGTTTCTCAGCATTTGTAAGGTTACTGCAACCCTACAAACGAACAAACTACTTGATGAAAAATAAGCAAACAAACAAACAAACTCTAACACACACACACCCCCCACCTTTTTGCCAATGGTTGAATAACTCTCTGCTTTTCACAGAGGGTCCCCCTATTTCTTATTATTTCACTTCTAGCAAAGTCATCTGCAATAAGTTATAAGTTCCCTACTCCTCCTTAGTCCTCCCCCAATGGGCCTTTTGCAGAAATGAGCTGTCTCCTTTCTTTCATAAACTTCTCTTCCTAATATCTTACTGAAAGGGCATCCTTGTTCAGGACTAATTAACACATTTATTTGGAAAATCCTACTATATATATTTGAAGCTATACTATTAGAAATGCAGTTGGATTTGCCTCTGGCATAAAACTCCCTTAGTCTGTAAAAAGAAAGTGGCCAAGAGAGTCTGTAGAAACTCTGGGTAACACTTGGGCCACAAATACATTCATGCAGACAAGTGGGTGTATTTCTACCTGTTTCCTTCCCTTTCAAATTAGTGTTTTAATTTGTTCACTTAAAGAGCTCAGAGTAGCCTGCACTTCTGCTTCCAGAAGTGTTCTTGTTTGCAGGCAGCAGGAGCAACAGCCTTGATTTCTTTCTTTCAGGTATCCCAATTTCTCTGGATTATTGGGTTGCTACACAAACATGCAGCATACATTGCCACTATTGCAAATGATAATATTAAGAGTAATAAATAAACATACATTCTGATATATTTCTGCAATAACACGAGGCACATGTTGAGAACGTGTGTAAATGCAGAATCATACTCTTGCCTCCTGTATATGCTTTGACTGCTGCTCCGAACTTAAGCTGACACTTAATGGCTTGCTGAAACTAACTCTGTTCTCAGAGATGCTTTTTTTTTTTTTTTCTCTGAACTTTAAGCAAACCCAATTAATTTATTTTTAATTATGCCATACCTAGCAGCTTGGGCCTCCTGCACTGATCATGAGACAGTAGCCAGACTTTAAAAATACCTTCTGGAGGACATCCTTAACGTATCATATTGTTTGATGGAAAAAGAAGACGTCAGATTGCTTCAGTGAAAGAGGCATTTCCCAGGGACTGTCTGAAGACAAAGCCTGTTTCTTCAGAGACACATGACTGTGCCCCATAACACCTTGTTATTAACAGATATGGCCTTCTCGTCCAAATGAAAGATTTGTCCTAACAAATTGTAAAGACATCACACATTCATAGAGTTTCCAGTTCTAAAATTCTATGACTTGTTAGCCAACAGATAGCCGGACATTCTGTCCTTGACCCAGGTATATGCTCTGTACCTCTACAACATATACTTATTAAATTAATACTTTCACCCTGAAAGAAGAGCATTTACTGCTCATACAGAGCCCAGGGAGGCAATCCACAGTAGGCACATGCACAGAAATGTGGGAGCCTTCACACAAACACACCATGCAGCTACACACTCCCTTTTTAAATAGACAATAGGCTGTTTTGAAAACATTGATTTAGAAGAATGGGACTATTCAAAGTAGCAAAGTTTACAATCGATTTAACTATGTGCAAGGTTGGAGCCTTAGACTGTAAGGTCTTTCAGGCAGTGATTCTCATTTATTGGGAGACTACAGAGGAGCACCCTGGGAACACAAACCCACGACTGAGACTCCTGGACGCTGCTGCTAGAAACGTTCTGCACGATACATAACTTGCCACTTCACTGACACATACGCTATGAATTACCGTTTTTGTCACAGCCCTCTTCCCAGGAGACCTCCAAACCTACAGAAAGGCTAACTACCATCCCAACTTTTACGTGTACAGCAGTTAAAGCTGCAAAAAGTTATCTGAGCTTACTTGAATTAATTATTTCTGAGAACAACTATTATTAAATTAGAAAGTTTGCTGGACTCTGATAAGCAAGTTTTAGAACATGCAAGGACTATATTTTCTTCAAATATTTGTGTTTACTGAATCATAACTGAATAGTCTTAAGATCTTAAAGTCAAAATCTTTTTTGCCAAATCATGCCAAACAATATTTTTCAAATACACTAACTTCATGATAATGCTTTTATACAGTAAACATTTACAGGATTTTAACTTCCACTCACAGCTACAGACTTTGGTTTGCTTTAAACTTACATCTAGGCAGTTGAAAACAAAATAAAGGATAGATATTTCAAGCGTTTAATGGGAAATTTGCATGAAAGCAAAACAAAATTGAAGAATCCCCAAATTTCTCCCTAAGTTCCAAATGTTTTAAGTTTTCTTACTCCTCTAAGACATTTTCAATCTTTCTCAAGTTCTCAACTTCTGACCCATTATGTCTAGCCTAAAAACAAATATATAAAGAAACTCACATTTGTCTCTTACATATACAAATCATTTCACTTATCAGGTCAAAGTGAAATAATAATAATAAAAAAAGTCTGTTATGATTTTACTTTCTCACTCTTGCAAGTTCATTTGCCTAGAGTCTAGATTTGCCTAGAGTCATTTCTTTATCAGCAAAGACCCCTCAGTGGAAGTTAATTTTAAATTAGTTACTCACAAATCCTCTAACAAGTTGTTTGGCTGTATAAGTACAGAAAACATCTTCAAAATCTGGGCAGTTTCACTCAGGGATTTCAACCTTTCATCTGAAAACCAGCCTTGCACACAACCAGAGGCAGGTCGCCCAAGGCCCTTCAGGTAACACACTGAAAACAGGCAGCACCTCTCTCCGCACCGAGACAACGCAGCCTTACTTTGCTAGAAGGGGCTTCCAGCCCTCTCGCTTGCGGCGCATTGCTCTGACCTCGCCTGTCCCTGAGCGCGCCTCAGGGAGCTGGGCCTCGTGGCCCTGCTGCTCCCGCACCCTTGCCGGTGCCCCGGCGGGGCCGGGGCGGCGGCGCCCGCCCGGAGGCCGGTGCCGGTGCCGGGCACGCACCTGGCGGCGGGTGACGAGCAGCTGGCAGAAGTCCTTGCTGGGCGCCGGCGCCTGCCCGCGCCTCTCCAGCAGCGTCTCCTGCAGCAGCGACGCCATCTTGAGACGCCGCGGCCATGGCAACCAGGAAGAGGCGGGGATCACACGGGGTCACCGCCGGCCCCGGCCCCCTCTTAAAGGAGCGCGGCCCAGATTAGCGCCGCCGCCGCCGCCATCGCCGCCCGCCGCGGGCAGGGTCTGCGCTGCCGCCGCCCCCCGCCCAGCGCCCCCTCACCCGCCCTCCGCGCCGCCCCCGCCCGCGCGGAGCCGGGGTGACGACCCGGCGGAGGGATACCGAGCGCCGGCGCCGCCGAGCGCAGCGAGCGGGGCGAAGGCGCCGCCGCCGCGGGGGCCCGCGAGGGGAGCGGCGGCGCGGGGCGGGCAGCGGGCGCCGCGCGGCCCACGGGGGTCGCGGGCGCCGCTCGGAGCCCCCGCCGCCGGGAGAAAGTAGTCCCCCCGGCCTCCCCCCGCCCCGCGCCGCTGGCAGGGGCTCGGCGGCGGAGGCGGCGGCGGACGGCGCACTCGGTGCTGCGGCTTCAGCTGATAATTGAAGGGAAGAGAGGCGGCCGTGCCGGGCGGAGGGAGCGTGGAGCGTCTGCGGAGGCCGCACCGGGACAAACTAGGTAGCGAGGCCCTGTGGCCGCTCGTGGGGGGGCGGCCGCGGCCGGGCCTGGCCCGGCCCGGGGTGTCAGCTCGGAGCTGGGCCGGGGGGGAGGCTGCGCCATCCCGGGCATTGTTGGGGTGGGAAGCGCAGCGAAGGGGGGAAAATGGCCCGGTGGGCGTCGAGCCGCGCTGCGAGGCAGCCCCGGCCTTCACCGGGCCCGGCCGCGGGGAGCGCGGCCTGTCCCGGGCGGCCCCGCTCGCCGCCTCGCCGGGCCCCGGCGGCTGCCGATACAAAAGGGCAGCGTCAGTGTTGACACCGCCGGGCGCCCTCCCCGCTCCTCGGCCCTGCGCCCCACGGCCTCCTGTTTCCCCTTTCTTCCTTCTCCCTCCTTTTCTGTTTTTTTTTTTTTTTCCCCTTTGTTTTGTTTTAGGGAGCTATCAAATATTTCAGAGGGGGGGGGGAAAAAAAGCAGCTTCTCTTTCCTTCCTCCTCCCCCGCTGGCTCGGTGAAAATGCTAAATAATGGGCCGGCCTCCATGTTTCACAAGCTTTTCCTCCCGGGTGCGTGGGGGAGGGAGGCGCCGGGCAGGGCCGGGGGCGCCCGCGGGGTCGGGCCCGGCGCCGCGGGCCCGGGAGGGGGCACTTCCCGCACATAACGCGTTTCGGTGCCGCTTGGGCCTTTTTTGGCCAAGAAGCGAGTTCCCCGGCCTGCATAACGCGCAGGCCGCGCTCCCCCTCGCCTCGCTCTTCCTTCTCCTCCGCCCCCTCCGCGAGCCCACAGGGCGCTCGGCTCGGCTCGCCCGGCCGGGCCGCGGGCTCGGCGGGACCCCGGCCCCGCTCTAGGCTCGTCCTCCTGCTGCCCAACTTTATTGTTCCCGGGCCGGGCCGGGCGCCGCGGGCCGGGCCTTGGGGCGAGGGCGGCCGCGGAGCAGGGGCAGCGGGCGCCGAGTGCGGCTCCGGGGGCGCGCGGCGGCGGGCGGAACAAAGGTCCGGAGCGGCCTGCGAGCCCGGCCGCCCTGTGTCGCATTTACGGCCCGGCCGCAGGCAGGCCTTGGGCTCCGGCCTAAATTTATTCTGTAAGTCTGGCGTGCGACTTGGAAACGTTTTTAGAGAGTACTCGGCCTCTTTTCCTGGTGTTTTTGTTACGCGGAGCAATCTGGTAATCGCTTCGATTCGGTGCTTTTTCCTTTTTTGTTTATTTTCTCTCTTTCCTCCAGAGGGCTGGTCTGTGTTCTTTCTCTCCGTGTTGCTCACCAGGAGTAATGTTGATTCAGGGTTTCTGACGCCATAACGCACAACTTTCTTCAGACAGGATGTCTTCCACAGCTTGTGTGTTATATATGATCGGTGTTGGCCTTCGTAGTGCTTGAAAGAGTGAAAGAAAAAGGAGTTGAGTAGTTCATCTGGCAAAGGTGAAGGCCTTCGTAATGCAAAGAAAGAGTAATTGTGATTACAGCTACAGTAGCTTGAACTATTTTTACAAGCTTTTTGTGGTGAAACTGCCACTGTAGATAGGCTTTCTGTGTAAGACTTCAAACACTAGGAAGTACTGCTGTGATTTTTTTTTTTTAATAATCTGATATATCCTTTTTCCAGTTCTTTGTGCCCTTCCTTTCCCCTCCCCCCTCAAAGAAAAAGTCTAGGTTTCTAATTATACTTTTTCTTCCCTTACTCTTTTGTTTTGTTTTTGATTGTACTCTGAGACCTGATATGTTAATTCTATTCAAACAAATCTATAGACTTTTTTTGGTTAAACTGAGAGTAAAAGTGCAGAAGCATAAGAAACATGTAAGAAGGATTATAAACACTGAATTAAATAACTATATAACTTTTAAGGTAACCTAATAAATATTAGCGAATAAATACATAGGAAAATATTAGTGATTAGTTTTTCACAGCTAATATTTTGACAGGTAATGTTACATTTGAGTAAAGTAGTTTAAAATCAATGTTTTAGTGAATAAATAATCAGTAGGTAATACTGTAAATAATTATTAGTCAATAGCTTTCAGAAGTCTGCATGTTTTCTACATGTGTAATTGCTTCACATTCCTAAAACATAGCTGGTTGTGAATGACTCTAGTTACATATACACTAATTATGGTAATAAAATGGAAGCTTTTTTTTTTTAAATGTCAATTGTTCAACACTTCCTTTTGTTGTGCTAGGAATCTTCAGTTGCCTGCTGCTTCACTTCTAGGGTCTATATGAAAAATTGGAAGGAGCAAATGTGTATTGCCAACTTTCTCAAGACTGCATGTTCTCCAGGCTCCACATGGCTCAGATACAGGCATCTAAACTGGTTTTGTCTGTTAGTAGGGAACAGAAAGTAAAATTGTAGGTCATGCTTAATGTGACATTACTACTTATTAGTAGTAGTAAGTAGAGCAGGTCTGCTTCAGGAAGAGTGCTGACCTGTTGAGTAAGAGCTTAGGAAAATGGAGCCTTTTAATACTCAGCAAAAGTTCTCCTGGCCCAAATGACCCTTGAGGAAACAACGTGTACCTTTACAGTAAACAAATAAACTGTGCCATTTTCATTAAGGAACTAGGCACAAGATTCTTTGCATAATGGCTTTTTACTATTTATCTTCCAATTCTGAATACTAATATTCTAGGAAAAAAAAAAGGAATGGAAAGTCTTTCATAAAATCATTCTGAAATTGAGATCCAAAGTTATTGGCAAGAGGAGAGGAATTGGAGGCCCTACATTTCTCCCATAGCATTTCACTCAAAACCTGACACAAATGACTTTATTTGGCATGAATGAAGCCAGCAAATATGTTCACATAAGCCCTTATTTTACTTGTAAGTACAGTTATTTACTTTGAGGCAATCCAGTAAAATAATCTGACTAAAAATCCTTTTGTTTTTAAGCAATGAAGCTGAAGCATGGCTAGGAATGTTATTGTCTGACTATCCTGCATTTTGTGATCTAATTTGAAGTGCAAATGAATCTCAGCACTATCTATGTGTTACCTTGGTGTTCATAGGCCATGCTACATCTTCTGTCTCCCTAATTAATACATAGTGTCTAGAACATTTCTGATTATGGTCTGTCTTCTGCCGTGCAGAGGCTACAGATTACTGTGACAAATTATAAACAAATCCCAAAGCTGCCTGGCGTGGTATTGTATCCAGGTGTCAAAAACTTAGACCCAGTGTGTTTCTGGGGCTCTTCCATCAATCTGTTGGAGGACCCATATACTGTTCCTCACTTGTGAAATTAGTAACCCTTCTTGTAAGGCACTTAGACTTCAGCTATCGCTGTCCCACTTCAGTCTCTGAAAATAGTGGTACCTCTGAATTCCTGTTGTTAGGCTAACTGGTTTCCTTTGGGAGTCTGTGTTTTTTGTTGTGTTTTCTTTTGTTTGTTTTTGTCCTTCTGTAATAATTACTGTAAGCTTAAATTTGCTTTAAAATATTGCAGTTTATAGAACAATTTGTTGAGGATTTTCATAGTGAGATTTTAATTGAGCAAATCTGGCTGCTAACTGCAAAACAGTAATTTTTTTTTGATTTTTTTTCTTCCTGATAATTTTTCTAATTTACATAGAATACTGTGTTTAAGTAGCAAAACTATTTTGATTTTTTTTTCTTCCTGATAATTTTTCTAATTTACATAGAATACTGTGTTTAAGTAGCAAAACTATCTTCGCACGTGTCACTAGCAATGAAGTATCCATCTGTGATAAAATGCTTATACATAGCTTTTTTGTTTTTGTTTTTTTCTTTAGTAAGATGACTAAATTTTAAACATGAATCCAGCAATATTCTGTAAATAGAAAACTTTTAGTTTTATGTGATATGATGTGCATGGGAGTGTGAAGGATCAAGTCAACTAGCTTCTCTACAGAATGCTTTTAGATGCACGTGATTGTTGCTTTAGCATGAAGGTTAGTTTTGAGGGGCAGTTATCCTCATCCTGTCATGTGATGGCCTTTTCCTCCTGAGCTTGGTAGAATTTAACTATGTGCAACTGCAATCCTATTCTTCTTCAATTCTGTCTGGCAGGCAGGGTTCTAGTACACATAACCAATCTGTTCACTCTCACTGTCTATAATAAGGCTTGTCTTGCAACGTACTGACTGTTGCCAGTCCTACTTGACTCACAAATGTACTCAGTACAAGTATGGCTGAAGACTGCAGTGTATAAGAACAATAGATTGCCTGCTTTTGAAGTAATTACTTTAGCAGAGAAAATTTGGAAAAGTGCAGTAGGAAAGGGAAGAGAAAAACTACCAAGATGGATGAGGAGAGAGAATTAGAAGGATTCTATAATGTTTGTCACTACGGCGCCCTTTTGAGGGGGAGGGGGAATGGGGGAATAGCACATGTCTTAGTGCTTTCTGAATGGGTTGGACTGCTTTTTTTAAAGTGTCCATTGCAAAGCAGTGTGCATGATGAACTGCAAAGAATTGATCATAAAAGGTCTGAAAGAGTCTGAGTCATCTCTTGGAATGTGAACCTTGAGTAGTAGAGAG